TGGCATCCTGCTCCCTCTCTCCTTCCCCTCCTAATTTCCTCTCTGCTTCTTTGGCAAATTCCTAATGGATCCCTGGGCTGGGGATGCTGCTGCTTTTCCCAGCAGGAAGATTTTAGGGGGTGGAGCTGGGATGGGCATGGGAGGGACTGCAGGTCCCCCCGGGGCAGGTGGGTTGAGCTGGTGTGTCCCACGTGGAGAAAGGGTGGTGGGAAGGCTTGGGAGGGGAGGGAGCAGAGGAAGAGGAGGCTGGGGAGGAAGGACAGGGGGGGCTCTGCCCTCCTTGCAGCCCTGGGAGAGGAGCTGGTCTGGCCCTGGGAGCTGAAAAGCAGGACAGAGCTCCTCGGAGCAACCCGTGGTTGGCTCCTTCCCCAGCTCCAGCTCTGTCCCAGTTGCTGGCAGTGGAATGAGACACAATCCTCTCCCTGCTGGGGCCCCGTGTCTGCCCAGAGCTCAGAAACCAACTGGTTGGAGCTTCATGAAGAAGCACCTGCTTCACTGAAGGCAACGGGCGATGGTGGGGACCAGCAGTGTGTGTGTGTCCCTGTGTCCCTGCCAATCCCCTCAGGATCTCCCGGGATGGGAGAGGAGGAGGAGGAGGAGACCCAGGGCTCCCTGCAAGTCCCAGCACTGGGAATGGTGCCTCCATGTGCAGCAGGGCTGGATTTCAGCTGGGATTGGTTTTAGTGTTAAGGAAAACCGGGCGGTCACCCCCTTTGAGCAAAGTGTCGGGCAGCTCCAGCCCTTTTGTCACCCCCTTCCTGGGTGGTGGCTCTGGGCAGGGGACGGGGCTGAAAGGGTTAAAGGGGTGGGTGGGATGGGAGCTTCAGAGCTCCCTGAAGGCCTGGAGTTGAGATGATGTTTAGATTAGCAGGTTTCCAGGCATCCCTGCGTTTCCAGGCATCCAGCAGGAGGGCTGGGAGGGCCGCCGGGGCTTGCCCTTAATTGGAGATGTGGTTGATGAAGCCACCCCATGGCTCTGACATCCCCTGGGCTCTGCTCCCACAGCAGCTCCCTGCTCCAGGGCTTTTGGGCTTGTCTCCATGCAGGGCCACCCCACCCCAACCCCACCCCACGGATCGTTAAGGTGACGGGAATTGATGCCACTGCTTAATGATGCTTTGGTGCTTAATGATGGCCCTGGTGCTGAGTGATGCTCTGGTGCTGACTGCAGCTTGGGGACACGGAGGGGACCCCAGGGTGGCACGGTGGTGTGAAGCTGGTGGTGACCTCCTCAGCTTCTTCAGCCTGAGGGACCAGCAGGGTCCTGTCCCCACGGCGGGGACTGGAGGTGACCCACCAGCTCCCTTGGGACCCCATCCAAAGAGGGTAGGGAAGGGGTGGATTGTCCCTCATGGTCCCCAGGCTGCCAGCAGGCACTGCCTCCCATCTGCCACGTTCCTTGGCTGCCTTGGCAGGGCTCAAATAACCCTTTTAATTGAAGGAGTTAAATTTTAATGGCCTTAAATACCTCACTTCATTATCGCCGCCCGGTGCCTGCGCCAACCTCTCGATGCTCCACGGCTGCTGCCTCCCCGGGGACCCTCCTTCCTCCTCCTTCTCCTCTTCTCTCATCCCAGGATATCCTCAGGGGATTGGCAGGTCCCTGTAGGCAAAGGGGACAGGCGTGTCACCCAGGGGGAGAGCCCTGGGGAGAGGCACTGGGATGATGCTGGGGAGGGTGGGAATTAACCGGCTCCTTCCATTGTCACATCGGAGGGGGATGGATGGAGGAGCCACAGCCAACCCCAAGAGTAACTGGGGCTTGAAGTCTCCCAGTATATATGGATTTATGGGGGTCATCTATATGGATTTATGGGTGTAAATATCTGGGGTAGATACCTGTGGATGGATAGATCTGGGATATGCATTTATGGATGGGTGTACACATCTGATGTGTAACTTATGGCTGGATGTGTATACATATTTATGGGGGAGTACATGTTGGGGGTTACACAGGAAGGGGTTGGCTCCTGCTGT